CCCCCCGCTTCCTTCCTGGGCCTCCCCTCCCCCCCCCCAGCGCCAGATGTGGCCGCGCCCCTCCCCCACCCCCGCGGCCACATCTGGATCCAGTTCAGCCCCAGTTTAATCCCAGTTTGGTCCCAGTTCGGCCCCAGTCTGGATCCAGTTGGGTCCCAGTTCAGTCCCAGTTCAGTCCCAGTTTGATCCCAGTTTAATCCCAGTTCAGTCCCAGTTTAATCCCAGTTTGGTCCCAGTCTGGATCCAGTTTGATCCCAGTTTAATCCCAGTTTGGTCCCAGTTCAGTCCCAGTTTAATCCCAGTTCAGTCCCAGTTTGATCCCAGTTTAATCCCAGTTTGGTCCCAGTTCAGTCCCAGTTTAATCCCAGTTCAGTCCCAGTTTAATCCCAGTTCAGTCCCAGTTTAATCCCAGTTCAGTCCCAGTTCAGTCCCAGTTTGGTCCCAGCTCAGTCCCACTTCAGTCCCAGTTCCTCCCAGTTCAGCCCCAGTTTGATCCCAGTTTGGTCCCAGTTTAATTCCAGTTTGGTTCCAGCTGAGTCCCAGTTCAGCCCCAGTTCCTCCCAGTCCATCCCAGTTCCTCCCAGTTCAGCCCCAGTTCCTCCCAGTTCCCTCCCAGTTCCTCCCAGTTCAGCCCCAGTTTGATCCCAGTTTAATTCCAGTTTGGTTCCAGCTGAGTCCCAGTTCCTCCCCAGTTCCTCCCAGTTCCTCCCAGTTCCCTCCCAGTTCCTCCCAGTTCCTCCCAGTCCATCCCAGTCCCTCCCAGTTCCTCCCAGTTCCCTCCCAGTTCCTCCCAGTTCAGCTCCAGTTCCTCCCAGTCCATCCCAGTTCCTCCCAGTTCAGCTCCAGTTCCTCCCAGTCCATCCCAGTTCCTCCCAGTTCAGCTCCAGTTCCCTCCCAGTCCATCCCAGTTCAGCTCCAGTTCCCCCCAGTCCATCCCAGTTCCTCCCAGTTTCCGCCTTTCCGCGGCCGCGCCCTCCTGAGTCACCCCCGGGGGGACACCGGGGACACCGGGAGGGGACACCGGGAGGGGACACCGGGGGGACACCGGGAGGGGACACCGGGGGGACACCGGGGACACCGGCCCAGGCGTGGCGGCCCCGCCCGGGGATCCCGCGGCGCTGCCGGGCCGGGGCCGCGCCCCGGTGTCACCGAATGTCCCCGGGTGTCACTGAATGTTCCCCGGTGCCACCGAATGTTCCCCGGTGCCACCGAATGTCCCCGGGTGTCACCGAATGTCCCCGGTGCCACCGAATGTCCCCGGTGCCAGCGAATGTCCCCGGTGTCCCCGGTGTCACCGAATGTCCCCGGTGCCACCGAATGT